CTAAATCTTAAATAAGAGTTCTTTGAGAACTGTAAAAGACGTCATATTGCTATCTGGGAAAAATCACTTGATTTTTGTAAAGCGAGAATAGAGCACTATCCGCTTCGCTTATGAGGTGTGAAATTTCATTAGATACACGGAGAGAGTAGGTAATTTTTGACCTATACCGATGGTTAGATATACAAATTAAAACTCATTTATTAAGCTTGTAGATGCAATCCACAAACAATTTACAAGTTATCGCATTCAATAATTATTTTGCAAAGAAACAGTGAAAGTACCAATTTTTTAATATTTTAAAGATTTCAAATTGCTGACCTATACTATTTAATAAACAAAAAAAAATAAATAAGTATGCAAATTAAAGCCTATTTCATAAGCTTTCTGATGCGATTCACAGAAATTTAATAGGATATTGCGTTCAATTGTTATCGCTCGGAAAAACAGTAGAAGTGAAAATTTTTGGAATTTTTGAAAATTTTTAAATTGCTGTAATTTTATAACTAAATGACCGATTTTGCTCATCTTCGAAATTAACCTCAGAAATCGTCCTAAGAATGAGTATGTTACGTTTTATTGAGATCCGTACAGAATTGCGGGAGTTCTCTAACAGACAAAAGGCTGGTTATATCGTCCATGTATAAACTTTTGAATCATATGCATTTTCTGGATCCGCTTGACGAGCTGAGTCGAAGTATAGCAAAATTTTTCAAAAGTTCCGTCATGAGGACCAATGCAATAGTTAGATTTCTATGAAATCTACTGAAAAATTATACATCATATAAATAAAACAGAAATAAATTACAATAAAATAATAATGCGCATTTTAATTATCAAAAATACAAAACACATGGAGCAAAGGGATTAAGGTAATAATACATTGATATAGTCGAAAGTAAAATATTATATGTGAGAAATAAATTAAAAAATTAAACTTTCATAAAATTAATTAGAAATATAATTGTTGTCATAAAATAATAATAAAATGTAAAATTAAAATTTTAAATATGTATTACTGAGTCTGATGATGTTCGATCAGGGTATAGAATTAAATATTACAAATAAATATTAATAAAACACAGATAAAAAAAGACTGGACTGTCATTATTTAAAAAAAGATAATGATAATGTAATAAACTTTTTTTCTCTGAAAAAATAACAATCGATATAAAGTGACACAACAATATTTTTCAGAGGTTTATTCTTTTCGATTTCATGCTGTAAGTTTATTATTTTCCTTGAGCACTCAATTAAAAGATTTATAATTAGGATGAAACTTTAGAATGGTTTTAACGCGGAAGAACTCTCTAGAAAGCTTATTTTTTTTTTTTCTATTTTTTTGTAGTTTGTAAGACTTCAAAAAATTAAAAGACCAAAACAATGCTCCGTATAATTATAAGGGATCTTTAAAAAGTTAATTATAAAATTCGAGGGAAAATATTAACTGTAGTAAAGAATTTCTTTCAACGTATCCTCTTGAGTTTATTTTAGAGTAAAATTATTTTTAAGTTTTTAATTTGTATTAAATAAATAATGTAAAGTACCCAGTAGTTGAGCAGGTTTCAAAGTAAAACGTATTTGACCCCACTTTTAATATATAAAGATATAATTATTAGTTTAAATTAGTGATTTTTATGAAAATATAAACAATTTTAAATTGATTGAAGCGCAAAATAACGCAGATAATTGAATATTTATTCTCACAACATTTTTAAGATATACTATGAAAGGAGCAGTAGTTGAGCTAATAAAATATATTGCAGTAGGCACAGCAAAAATTTTAAGGGCCAGTTTTTCAATCCGGGATAAAATTTTATCCGAGATAAAAGTACTGTCAATGGCTGCGTTCAAGTTTACTAAGTTCTTGGCAGATCTTAGCATATCTTGTAGCAACAACTTAAAGTAACTATATTATTTTTTTTGCACGCCTCATAAGCGAAGCGTTGAGGTTGTGCTCTACTCTCGACATTTCAAAAAAAGTAGTTTTCTCGAAACTAAAATTGATTTTTTGTTATTTATATCGCACTTATAGGTTAATATGAGTACACTTATATCAAGTCGAATAATTTGTCAGGCACATAAAATATATTTCAATAACAATTTTTTTGTTTAACATAGTAAATAATAACATTTAACATAATTTTTTCTGGACGTCCGTGTATGGATGAGTGTATGTGGCAGGGAAATTGGTCGAAAAAATGATCGTACCGGAACAATTTTTTTTTTATTATCTAAAGTAACACACGAAGGATTTTCCTAATTAATATGAGCGTTCAATTCACTGTCGTTAAATTATTATCTATAAAAAACTAATATATGACTGTGGATTTTTTTGTATATCTATCTATACATTTCATTATAATATTTTTTTTCCTCACCTTACAGTTATGGCGCCACTAAACCATAGCAGAGTTTTGTTTTTTATTATTTTGCTTTTTATCTTTTATTTT